TACAATGCAAGAGACACGGGTTCAATCCCTGGTCAGGGAACTAAGATCCCACATGTTGTGGGGCAACTAAGCCCACGCCACGACTAGAGAGCCTGCGTGCCTCAAATCACAGTGCCCACGTGCTCTGGAACCCGCACACCACAACCACAGAGCCCACGTGCCTTGGAGCCTGCACGCCACAACTAGAGAGAAGCCTGCGTGCCTCAACAAAGAGCCTGTGCACCACAACGAAAGATCCCGCACGCCACAGCTAAGAGACCCAACACAGCCAAAATTAAATAAAATAAATAAATATTTAAAAAAAGGTTAACTTGGTTTTTAAAAAAAAAAAGAAAATGAGCTGGTAAATTATTAGAAAAATAAGAGTGTAGTATAATAAAAAATTAGAAAATAAATATTCTGAAATAAGTAGCTTTCTATATACTGGCAACAGATAGAAATATAACAGAAAAATCCATTCACAGTTGTGACAATAAAGCGGTCAAATATCTAGGAGTAAGTGTAAATTTAAAATAAATGAATAAAATCTATATGAAGAAAACTGTTCAACATTGCTGAAGAACACAGAAGAAAACCTGAACATGTGGAGTGACATACCATGTTCATAGATGAGGAAATTCGATATTGTCAAGATGTCAATTTTCCCCCAAGTAGATTTTTAAATCCAAAGCAATTCCATTAAACATATACTACATTTGAAATAGTGAAAATGTATAATGTACATAAAAGATGAAAATAGTGCAATAAACATTTGTACACCCCTCACCTCAATTTACCAGTTGTTAGCATCTTGCCACCTTTACTTCATCTCAACTACTTTTATTTTCTGAACGTTTCGAATGTAAGTTGCAGACAGCAATGTCACTTTGCTCCTGAATACTTCGACTTGCGTCTCCTGGGAATTAAGGCATTCTGACACAGCCGTACTCATTAGCTGTGCACTTGAGGTTAACCAGAAACAGCGCGCGCCAAATCTTACTATGCACGTGAGCCACCTGGGGGTCTTGTCAACATGCAGATTCTGAGGCAGTGGGTCTGGAGTGATGGCCGAGGTTCTACATTTCTAACGAGTTACCAAATGACGATGATGATGCTGGTCTGGCAGAACACGCTTGGAGTTTCAAGGATCAAATATTGTTCCTTCTATACCCCCTTCCCAGGTTATCACTCCTCTCTCCTCGTCTAAAGAAGGAACCGTTATCTTAAACTTGGTGTACTTTACTCCCGTGCATGTTTTCGTACACTTATTAGATATAGGCACCCCTTAACTACATACAGCATGCTTTCCATATTTTTGAACTTTACATACGGTACCACAATTGAACACATGCTTGGGCAACTTGCTATCTTCATTCAGCGTTATGTGAGGTTTATCCATGTTGATAAATGTAGTTCAGAGCCATTCATTTTAACTTCAACAAATCTTCCCCAAGGAGATATGGCTGGTGGGTAGGCTGGCCGCAGAGAACTCGCAGAAGTGTGGTGATGGAGGAGTTGGAATTTGGAGTTGGACGTTAACCAGGCTGCTTCATTTTCCGTTGTGAGGTTGTAATTCACAAACAACCTAGCTTATACAGTTCTGGAGGTGGGAATTCCAACATCAAGGCTCCAGAATATTCGATATCTGGTAAGGGTCTGCTTCCTTGTTCATAGATAGCCATCTTCTTGCTGTGTCTTCATGTGGCAGAAGGGCCCGTGTCAGTTATTTTGACTTTGCTCATGGTGTATATTTTGCCTTGATGGAGGGGGTTTTTTTGTTTGTTTCTCTCACGTGGTTAAATGTATCTCTCTTTGCTTTTATGGTTTCTGGACTTTGAGGCTTGGTTAGAAAGGCTGCCCCTACTCCACGGTTATAAAGGGATCTGCCCAGGGTTTCTTCTCGTACTTTTATGGTTTTATTCTTCTACATTTAAAATGTTGACACATTTGGAGCTCATCCTGGTACTCTGAGAGGTATGGCTACAACTTACTTTCTTCTAGGCAGCTGCACAGTGTCCCAGCGTCAATCAAAAACACCACCTCCTCTCCCCAACAGCCACGGATTTGAGGTGCCATCTTCAGCCCACACTAAGTGTCTGCAGGCATGTGGGTCAGTTTCTACATTTCCTATTCCACACTGTGGTTCATGCATCACATGACAGGACACTATCACCTTGATAATCGAAGCTTTGTGATATGAATTCATGTGAGAGCTGAACCTATTCTTGCTTATTTTTCTATTTGACCAGTTTGCCAAATTGACAAGGGAAGATGAGCTTTTAGCAATTTTTATCGTTGATGACACTGAGCTGTGAAGCGCCTGGGGAGAACCCTCTGTGCTGGTGAGTCTTCCTCTCCAAGAACATGGTGTCTTCCCACCGCCAAGTCTCTTGGTAATGCCCTGGAGTGTTTTAAAGTTTCTCTCAAACAGGTTTGCACTATTTCCTGTTAAGTTTATTCCTGTTGTCAAATGTGCCTTTTTCACTCATTTATCTTCTAGAGTCTGTTTACATCTATAAAGACTACTGATTTCCGAGCAGTTGTCTGCACCCTCTTCCCAAACCCTCTGCTGTGGACGGACTCCAGTCCACTCTCCTGTGCTGGCGGGGCGCAGTCACGTGTCTCCCGTGATGCTGGCGTCACCTCCTCCGCAGTTGCTCATGTTCTCCGCCCCTCTTGCTCGGCTGCGTGGGCCAATGTTTCCAAGATGGCGCAGGTCACCTCGCGGATGGTGACACATCTCCAGCTCTGCTCTGCTCTGCCTGGCACTGTGGTCCTTCTGACTCCTTTTTTTCCAGGTGTTTTGCTCTCCTTCATGACAGAGATCTTCCCCGAATGTCTGGTGCCCTTGGCTGTTAATTCGTGTTTAAAGCGGGGACTGGGGCTTCCCTGGTGGCGCAGTGGTTCAGAATCCTCCTGCCAATGCAGGGGACACAGGTTCGAGCCCTGGTCTGGGAAGATCCCACATGCAACTAAGCCCGTGCGCCACAACTACTGAGCCTGTGCTCTAGAGCCCATGAGCCACAGCTACTGAGCCCACGTGCCTAGAGTCTGTGCTCCGCAACAAGAGAAGTCACCCCAATGAGAAGTCCGTGCACCGCAACGAAGAGCAGCCCCCGCTCACCACAACTAGAGAAAGCCTGCACGCAGCAACGAAAACCCAACACAGCCAAAAATAAATAAATTTAAAAAAAAGAAAAGAAAAGAAAAATAAAGCAGGGACTGATAGTTGATATCAATGTGGGCAGGCTGGGGCTTGGCAGCTGGGGCAGCTTCCTGTTTCTGCGGCCTGAACCATGCAGCTGGGAGCTGACTCTCCAGCTCTGCCCACTCTGTGGCCACCCACTGGAATGTGGTTGCCACCTCCTGTTGGTCGGCCCTCCAGCCCAATTCTGCCCTGTGGGTTTTTGCCTTCCTCAGAGCCCTCTGCAGTCGTTTCGGTGGGACTCCTCAGAAGCAGAAAGGCCCAGGTTTGCCCAGCTTTCTGTGTGAGGCTGCACGTCTGCAGACCCTTGTCAGGGTAGGTCTTCTCAGACCTAGGCCTCAGCCTGAGGTCGCTGCCCTTCTGTGAGCACGTGTCCCCACCATGTGGGGCGCTGGGGCCCTGCAGTGACCACTGCAGATGAGGGCGGCTCTCGTGGGACTCGGGCTGGAAAGGGCAGGGACCAAGGGACTGGTAGGGCCAAGCTGTGCCTGCCGGGCTTGTCCCTGAAAGACGATGCCTGACAAGGCCCAGGTGTGGGGAGACCCCTGGGAAGAGCCTTCCGTGCCGAGGGTGCACCAGGCGGGGACAAAGAGGATGGACACCCTGCAGGACAGAGAGACAGCAGACTGGTGCGCCCATCAAGGCCACGGCAAGTGGCTGACATCGCCCAAGGGCTGGCAGCAGTGGAGGGAAGAAGCAGGATGACACCGGAGGAGCGGCCAGGGTGTGGGGGACACTGCAGGGACTCTGTGCCCCCAAGTCAGAAAGCTGGGAGTCTGCGGAGAGGGGTCTGCACCCCTTCCCCACCGCCCCAGAAGCCCCTCTCCTCTGTGCCACGTCCTGCCTCCCAGCCTCATCCCCACACCCCCCTTACCCACAGGGGCCCCCACCTCCCAGAACTGCAAACTTGGCAGGTCGCCCCTGCCCAGGAGCCGCCCGACCCCTCCATGGGCAGGTGCGCGGTGGGATGGCCCCATGCCCCGGCCCCTCCCGAGGAGTCCTTGCCCCCGACAGGTACACGCTTGTGTGTTCTATGTCCTAGCTGGCCCATCCTGAGATGTCGGCCTCATGGAAGCTGAGGGGCGGCTGGTTTCCGGCAAGGGCACAGCTGGTAGGGCACCTGGAGCCCGCTTTCCTTCTCCGCCACCTTCTCACGTAAACCTTTGACCTCGAGAACACCCACGCAGACGGGTCGAAGCGCACAGCTCCACGGGCTCCACTGAGCCTGGCCTGCCACAGCCCGGATCCTGACGCCCAGGGAACAATACAGAACTCCTGGGGGCGTGGCTTCTGTTGCTTGTGAGGCGCCCCCGGGGCCAGAGCAGCTGTGTCCTGTCCCCTCACCGCTGCACGGGGACCGAGCAGCTGCCCACCCACTGCCCACCCCTCCAGACTGGGGCTGTCTCAAAGCAAAGCCTCCAGAAACATTTTGGCCAGACTCTGGTTGACAGGTCCTCCTGCCGACTGCCCGCCTTCCTGGTCAGCAAGACACCGTCCCTGCTCTGAGGGCACAGCTCCCCCTGACTGGGATCCCTCCGCTCGGTGGTGCCCGGGGTTGGGTTGGCCGGCAGAGGGGCAGAGCCCACAGCTGTGGGGGACAGGAGGGGCCTTGCCCACCTTGGTGCCCACCCAGGGCTCTGGGAAGAGAATGCTGGCGCTCTGCATGGCCCCCAACCCAGCACCTGCTTCTTATCAGACGCTGTTCGGCCCTCCCCCAGCTCGAGAGGCCCCTCTCCACCCACACCTCCCCGGCCAGTCTCCGGGGTTTCCAGAGAGGAGCCCGGGGGCCCAGAGGCCACAGCCCGCTTCAGCTTACCCAGTCCTGAGTCTGCAGCACCTGCCGACTGCTGCTCGGGGCCCCGGGCTGGCCCCAGGCCACCGCTGGGCTTGGTGGAGCCGAGGGCTGCCCGTTCTCTTGGGACGACTGGGACTCTGGCATCTTCCCCAGGAAGGCCTTAAACAAACGCTTCCCGCTGTCCATCTCCAGCCCCTTGAGGGGCTCGCCTGTACCTCTGGGGCTCTGGGGGTAGGTGCCCACGGCTACCTGGGCCCCTCGGGCAGAGGGAGGCCGCTTCAGGATCTGCGGGTCTCATCTTCCAGCCACTGCCCAGACAGTGCTGGGTGGGCCTCAGCCAGGGACACCCAGCAGGGTCGACCCCCTTGGGTGTCCTGGGTCCCCAGCTCCTACAGCCATTCTTCTCCACATGGTCAAGCCAGGCCGGAACAGCTGGGCCGCCGCCCTGCCCGGCCTCCTGCAGGCTCCCCCAGGGACGCCCCCTCTCCCACCGCGGCTCCAGCTCCTTGCATGTGCCCCCAGACGGCCCAGGTGCGTCTCCTCAGGACCCTGCCTGCGGGGCGCACTGAAGGCGCGGAACGACCAGACGAGAAAGAAGGGCCCCCCCCAGCTCTCCTCCCGACCCCTGTGACGCCCGACCCCTCACCTCGACGCCCCCGGGCCACACCCCAAGGTCCAGGCTCTGCGCCCCCCGCCCGCACGACCACGCGTGAAGACGCCGCAGCAGACGGCAGCCGGCCCCTCTCCACTCCATGGGGTCTGGGGATGAGGAGTTCGCTGAGGAGTGTCAGGGCAAGGGTCATGGGGACACACGGCGAGCGTCAAAGGGAAGGAACCATGGGAGGTGGCGGCCAGCGGGGGAGGGGCGGGATACACTACGGGTACGGAGGTGGGGGAGACGTGGGGTACACAAGGGGTGCAGGGGTGGGGAAGGGGCGAGGCACACAACCTATGGGAGCGGGGGTGGGGAGGGCACACTACGAGGACGGGGTAGGGGGTACACTGGGGGGGCGGGGAGGGGCGGGGCACACTACGGGTACGGGGGCGGGCCCATTGTGGTGGGTGGGTCAAAGGGTGGGGCCCACAGCGGTTCTGAAAGGCCCGAGGGGGCGGACTCGAGCCCCACGAACTTCCGCTTCGACAGGCTCCGCCCTGCCGTTTCCGCTTCCGGCCCGTTTCCGTGCCTGCGTCCTGGTCTCGGTGGTTAGGGGCCGACCCGGGTTCCGCTCGTCACGCGGACCTGGTTCCACTCCGGTGTCCATGGCCCGGGGCTTCATCTCGGGCTCTCGAGGAGTCCCGGCCCCGCGCCGCTCGGAGGGGCTCGCCTCGCAGACGCCCCCGGCCGTCCGCGCCCTGAACTCAGGCCCCCTTGGGTCCCCGCCTCGCGTGGGGGCTCGGAGCGCCGGCCCGCGACGGGCGGGCGGAGCTCGCGCCTGGACGGATGGAGGGGCCGAGGCTGCTCGAGAGGAATCACACAGCAGGCGAGGGAGGGCCTGGGAGTGCTCCCCGCGTTTATTAGTGTCGCATCAGCACCTTAAAATACTCCACGTGGTCACATAACGTGTTTTCCAAAAACGCTATTTACATTAATCCTGTTTCCCATTAAAAAAAAAAAAACAAAACCTAGCAACACGTACATCCTAGAAACCAAACAATGCACAAAGAACTGGACGGGGGGTCTGCAGGAACGCACGGCGGCACCCCTTAGCCTCCCCTGGGGGAGGGACCCCCAAGCCCAGTCCTCAGGCCCCTACCAAGGACTTATCTTCCTCTCCACCGGAGGACAGGACGGGTCTCGGGAGGGGGTCAAGGAACAGGTGTAGGGGTCAGGCAACTGGCCTTTGGGAGCAAGTGGCCCGGTCTTGTCATGAGGAACCTGTTCTGGGACAAAGGCCAGTCAGGTCTTCATATCTGGGAGTGAGGACAGGGCAGCAATGCTGGCCCTGGCTGCTCTGATCTGCCTGCCGCTGCACAGAGACCTTTGGTTCTGGGCCCAGAGTCCCTCTCCTTCCGGATCTGCAGCTGTGACACTGACTCGGGACACCGGCCTGCATGCCCTGAGGAGATGGGGACCCAGGGGACCAACACGAGGAGGGAGAAGCAGTGGCCCAGATACAGGGCTGGAGCTCACCTCCACGGGACCTCAGCAAGGGCAGAGCTTGCCCACACCATGCCACCAGGCCCACGAGGAGCCTGGCCTTACCCGAAGGTGGCTGGTGGCTTAACCTTTGAGTCCTAAGGACCACTGGTCACCCAATGGGCTGAGGACCCCTGCTCCTGTCCTGTGGGTCATGGTCTGGGGCCCGTGTTCCTCACATGCCCCCACCGCCCTCCATGTGCTCACGGCTGCACTGGCTCAGTCACAGATGGCTTTGGCTTCTGCATCACCTTCCTCCCAGGGACAAAGTGCTTTTGTATGTATCCTCAGAACAGCTCCATGAGGTAGGCTGGGGAAACGTGACCATCCCCGTTTAGCCGATGGGGAAACCGAGGCACCGGCGTGAGCAAAGCCCAGGTCTCCAAGTGAGTTATGGTGGTCGGGGTCATCTGCACGACCTCCTGGGCCCATAAACAGTGTGGCCGGTGGGCCCCGTGGCACTGGACAGACCACAACTGGGCTCTGCAGGCCCAGCGGCACAGGGTGGAGGTGCTGGGTGTCTGCTCCTTGTGGGTACAAGGACACAGGGAGGCGTGAGGAAGACAGCTCACAGTAGGGATGGATGGGACAGCCCCCTTTGGCCCTTCTTCTAAAACTAGCTCTGCAGCTGGAAAGCTAAGTCAAGGGTGTGTCACCTGCACCTCCTTCCTGTTGAGTGTGACCTTTGGAAACTCGAGCAGTAACCAAGGCCCTGAGGCCAGTGGTGGGAACGAGGGGGGAGGCTCAAGGTCCCCAGGCTGCTTCTGAGTGTAGCCGCAGGTAGATGCTGCACAGGCCGCCCAAGGGGTCCTCAGCTCAGCGGCCTGCACCCTCACCCAGGTCCTTCCCAGGGAGGGGCAGGGCCCCTGGTCCAAGGTCATGTCCAAATGCTGTCTGCCAGCTAGGTCCAAGGCCCTCAACCATGGACACTCGGACCCCGTACAGCCACCTGGGGGAGGTAAGCAGGTAATAAAATAGGCCATTTTCCATCCACTAAGCGGGACCCCTCTGTGCCACGGGCTGTTGGTGAGACCTGTCCTCCAGAAGAGCGGGAAAGGCCTGCAGCCTGTCTGCGTTTGGCACTGTTTCTGAGCACAGCATGTGTGGCTCTCGGCCCTAGGAAACTGGGCTCACAGCCCCCTGGGTGGGTCACCACGGTCCTACCGCCACAGCTGCCAAGGGGCAGGAGCTGGGGGGCTCTTCCTGTGGAGTGCTGGGGTGCAGGCCTGTGGGGCAGTGGGAGGACTGGCGAGGACCCTGGCCTCAGGTGGAGGGGAGGCTCGCCCCCCTCCGCAGGGACCCAGACCACAAACACCTCCGTCCTGAGGAGCCCGGCCTAGAGGTGGGGCCCCAGCTTCACCCACAGCCCCAACGGGGCTTGGCCCCTATGGTCTGGCCGCCTTGTCTGGGCTCTAACTGGCCACATTAGTGTTTCAGAAGACAAACACCTGGCTGCCTGGCCAAACACCTCCCAGCCAGCAGGGGGGCTGGGGTGGGGGCAGGAGGTGGCAGCTGCGGAAGCCACTGTGCCCACTAAGTTTGGGGCGGGCAGAACTCGCAGAAGCAGAGCGGCGCCGCGGGGACGGCCGGGGGGAGCAGTGGGTGTGGGGGGCTGGGACCCCGGGCAGCGCAGCTGCTCTGCCTCAGCCCTAAGGGGCTGTCAGGGCTTCAGAAGAGCAACGTCTTTTTGGCAGCTACATTGCAACATGTATTTGAAAGCATTAAAAAATCCGTGACTATAAAACCGCCACTGCCCCCTGTGGCTGGAGTTCAGTGGGATCCACGAGTGGGCGGTGCCAGGGCATCTCTTGCCTGGTTGGTGGCTGGGGCCCAGGGCTGGGCTGACTGGCCTGACTGGCCTCTGTTCCGCCCAGGACGCCCCCGACAGAAGGCTGGCCTTTGGCCTCTGGCCACCCAGCTCGGTGCCTGGGCACATAGGCAGCCTGGGGTCGGGGTGGCCGCCTGCCGGACCCTGGCTCCGAGGAAGCAGAGTCCTGGCTTTCAGGAAGGACAGGACGCAAAGGCAAGAACCCTTCTTGTTGGGGGGCTGGGTGGGGGGAGTCCTGAGGCCACAACACACCTTCCACGATTCTCAAGTTCAACACTGTCCGCCTGACCTCCCACCCCTGCCGGAACGTTCTGGTTAAGAAGCAGAACAGTTGTGGGGTCCCGGTGGGGGGCTGCCTCGTTAGTTTCCAGGTAGTGAGCATGTTCATACTTAAGACTGTTTTTCTCTGGGTTTTTAAGGGTCTGTCTCTGCAGTAAACTGAAATGTTAACAGAAAAGCAGCTGGGCCCTCCCGGCGCTCGGCCATCGCAGGGCTGCAGGGCAGGGAGCCGGCGCGGCCCCTTGGCAGGCGGGGCTAAAAGGTGGACTTGGAGTGTCCGAAGATGCAGATGGGGAAGTGCTTGACGTGGGAGGACCACTGGGCCGCCAGCTGGAAGAACTTGACGTCGTTCCACTCCACACCGTCGATGAGGACTGTGGGGGACAAGACCGCCTGACCCACCTGCCCCTCCTCCAGGCCGTGGCACAGAACGAGGCTGGAGGGCCTGACACCCCCGGGGACTCCCAGGCTCCCAGGCGACACTCGCTGGTTCTCAGTGGCCCCATAGGAAGAGGTCTGGGACGGCCCAGCCCACCTTGCTGACCTTCCTGCCAGCTGCCCACCACCGCCCCCACGGCCAACCCCTCCCCGACTTCAGGGGACCTGCTTGTCCACAGCCCCTCTGCCTCAGCAGGGGTCTGCAAACCCAATTTAAAACACTCTCCACTTAAACCAGAAAATCAACAGAGGCAGGCGGACGTGAGCTCATGAAAAAAGAAAAATCTCGAGAGCTCCATATTCTGTTAGTTGCAGAGTATCTTCTATAGAAAGGCTGAGATAAAGCACAAAGGGCTGAGAAAAGCCATTCCACGCACACGAATAGCCTCATCCACGCGTGTTCAAAGCTTAAACTACGCAATATGACTTCATAGCAATATGACTTCATAGCAAACCAAAGCATTCCCTGAGGTGAACTTAGAAAAGCCACCCAGCTCGGCTCTGGTTTACTTCTATATCCTACCCCCCCCC